GTGGATAATTACAGGAAGTTTTCCCCGGGGTGTTGATGTAAATCCCCAACTGGGTATTTTGGTGGCCCGACCGGGTAACTCAAGTGGGTCATTTAACCATGCGCTACATTTTGAAGAATCCGCGAGGTCAGGGGAGAATTACCCTCCTGGGGAATATGGTCGGGGGATCTGTCTTGATTTGGTTTAAAAGTGGATTTTGGTTTTTTGGCTAAGGATCCGTTTTTTCAAGTTCTGACATAGCAAAAGGGAGTTCTAGAGAGAGAAAGTGACCAAGAACAAATTTAGGAAGTGATTGGAGTCCTCTAAAGTCATTGAAGCTTGATCCTTCACCCTCAGAGTGTCGATTTATAACCTGGAGAAGGATTTCATCTTTCACACTATGATTTCCACCTCCAGCTTTGTGTTTTCCATTCTCTTCATAGAGTAATCTCTCTGATCATCTGGGTATGAAGAACTCTAGTCGTGTATGTTAGGAATGATTGTATGAACTCATTTTCATGGATGATTGACTATCTTATATTCAATTAAGGCATTATTCAGAATTGCATGAGTCCTGGTCCAATTCCATCCCGCTTCAACCTAGAACGATGGTTTCTGCATAGGTTAAAAGAGAAACCTTAAATTGAAGTAGTGAATCAGTTGCATTAGTTGAGAAGTCGATTAAGGAATTGAAATCCTATAGAGGATGTTTTGTGTGGTAGTGCCTCGTTTAGCTTATTTCGGCGGAGGTTAGTCACCAGCCAAGTATTCAAACCAAGAGGTTCTGGAGTTCTTTAGTAGAAACTCCATACTGTCAAGAACTTTCCACGGTGATTTCGGCAAACATGAAGAGGAAGAAAGACGGGAAATCTTGGCAAAATACAATCAATTTGTATTGTTTTAAATTCATTTAATTTTCAAATTAGCATGTCTAATTTTTACATTAAATTTTGAAAGGTAAGATATGTTTAGTCGTAGGTTAAAGAATAATTCGATCCATACGTACCGACTCGATATTTGTGTTGAATTAGATCAAACAAAAAAATCAATTTATTTACTCTATGTAATTGCTTAAAGTCGAGATAGTTTTTATTAAAAAGTTATTAAACGTAAAATATGGTCCAATGGAATAACTTAAATGCTTCTTCAACCTAACAACGTTGTTATTTACATCTGAATAGTTTCATTAACGATTAAAAAATAGTTGTATAATGATAAACCATTAATCATGAGTCATTGAAAATTTTCATCCGACAAATGCTTCGCTTTTGAAAATATAGGACAAGTCAATAAAATATTTAAAAATATGAGCATATTGTTAAAGGTTAAGTTTGAATTATGATAACTAAAGTTCAAATGATTGAATAACTTAAAAAGGCCATTTCAAATCAAAATATTCTTTTGCTAATATTTTTTATTTTTTTCTCTTTCAAAAATATAAATTTAATACATCTATACTAATATTTTTGGATTTGTTTTACATCATTGTCCAGATAACCTATTTCCATATCACATTTTTTTCTCCGCGAGAGGGGAAACGGACGCGCCATCAGCGTGAGGCGGGCCACTAGTTGTGTTGCGGATCGGGCCAAGGGTTGCAAAGGTGAATGGTTGAGCTGCTCCTGACGGCGCTTCGACTGGTCAAAAGCAGGAAACTGATAGCTTCCCAAGTTGTATCTCATGGATAACTCGATATTCGTGCACCTCGCTTTTCGTGTCCGTCTGCTTTTCCTACATGGAGCCAGGTGGTGCAGAGGTAGCCTGTAACCCACTTTTTGGGGAAAAAGCCAGGACGATGTGACAATTCGTGATGGGGACTGTGTGGCTTCTTTTCCTCGTCGGAGCTCCGACGCAAATTTGTTTCCGACCGCCTTTTTTTTTTCTTCTTCTTCTTGGTCTTCTGCTGTTGTCGGGCTCTCTCTTTGTTTCCTTCAGATAAATATTATGTGATGTGTAATCTCGAAGTGGGGAGGGACTTCTCAGCTACTGTCATCGAGTCATCAACGGCCGCTCATTGAGGAAGAGAATGTCTCTTTTTTTTTTATATATATTTTGAGATCTCAAGCCTTCTGCTTCTCCTCTGATCTTCTTGCTTCTCGCATCCTTTAAAGATCAAACGAACAAGATCGATGAATATGCCCCACGGTGGGCGTCAATTGTTTGTACCGACTAGCTCCGGATCGAACAATGATATTTGTTGGAGTGGGGTTGACTCACGATCCGTTCGTCCGATCTCGTCGGGAGAGAAGAAACCTGTGAAAGAGTCGGGGTTGCCCCCCGGATTAAGCTCCAACGATCAAGTCAGTGTGTGTTTGTGGAGAGAGTTGAGAGAATAGATAGAGAGATAAAGTGTAGGGAGATAGTAGAGAGTGGAAAGTCAGGAGAGAGAGAAGAAGTCCCCCTCCTTGGTGGGTTTCATACCTTTATATACTCGTAGCGGTTTAGAGCGTCATACGTTGTCGATTGGACGCGGTATTACTTAGTCTCTGCGGGAAGTATCTTAGCAACACCCCCAACAGAACCAAAACCGCTGACTATCAATTTAGTCAAAATCCAATTATCACTTAAACGAAGGTTATCAATAATTAATAAGGGATAATCGATTAAATCGCCTATACTCAATTATTAACCGTTTGTTAAATGATTAACCGACTAACAGTCTAATACTCGACCCAACTACTTAACTACCCATCATCATTCATAACTGAACATTGGGCTTGGGCTATAAAAGCCAAATTTTAGTCAAGGCAGTAAAGAGCAAACTACCAAAACGAACTTTGGCTCCAAAAATAGCGGCCCAAATGAATCGGGCTTCTTAATGGATTCCATTGCAATCCGTTAAAACTTAAAACTAAGATGTGAACAGAGCAGCAGATGCAGGCAGGTGCAGGCGGACGAACCGCCAATGTATTACAGATGTTGAGTTCCATTTGTGCGCGATAGCATATATGTTAGTTGTCATTTGGCAGTAGGATGGCAATGGGTCGGGTTGGGTTTGGCAAATCCATGGGTTTATCCGTGAAAAAAATCTGGGGTAAAACTCACTGGGTTTGAAAAACTCAAACCCAACCCGTTGGGTATTCGCGGGTTCATGGGTACCCACGGGTTTTTGTTGTAAAAAATTCACAATAACAAGTTCCTATCAAAATTAACGTCAAATATCAATCTCTCAATACAAATTATCCATATATAAATCACCATTATAGAAAATTCAAGCAAATCACAAATTAACTATACAAATTGTTCAACACCAATCTAGAAAACTCAAGAAAATTGAAGCAAATCACAAATTATCCATAAATAACATGATTAATTGAAAGCTTCTTTCTTTCAATTAAGTTTTTCAATCTCCACTCGATAACATCAAATTCATTCTACACAACTAGAAAGAAAAAATTAGACATGTCTCCACAAACATAAATAAGATTAGTTGTTTAGAATATTAAATATGCCGAGAAAAATAATTATATGGGTGTGGGTGGGTACCCATGGGCCGGGTTTAGCTAAACCCAAACCCAACCCAACCCGGTGAATAGTGAACGGGTTTAAACCCAAACCCGCCCCAAAACCCGTCAACACGGATTTTACCCGCGTTGACCGGGGTGGGTACCCGTGGGTTTGGGTTTTATTGCCATCCCTATTTGGCACCGAGTTCAGAAACTGAAGCTGTTGCGGTTTATACATCGACTTAGTACTGGACCTAATTGTCATTAGTTATAGTTGATGGCAGTGAAGTGAAGTTTACCAATTATTATGGCCGAACCTTAGTTGTAGTTGGTGTACGGGTTAGGGCTTGAGGTATATATATTCATCTTGCATGCTACTGCATCAGAAAAGTTGAGTGTGTAAGTTGATTAATGAGAAGTTCTTGAGTAGCTTACCACGTAAATCGATCTTGTTATTTCGTTTTTCGAGTTCTACTTATTTTACATAGTATCGGAACCTGTTGTTTGGTTATCCACGTAGGAAAAGAATGGTTCATTCGTACGCTCAAACTTCAAGTGATATTTTTTCTTACAAAACCCCTCTTGTTGAGAATCCTGCTACTGGTTTTTTGTGCCGTCTTTGGTTACAAAGTTGTTTTGCTTTGATGCTGCGGGAAGAAGACGGGGGATGTTTGATGCTTAAGCTTCTTATTATATGCGGAATTGCCAAGTAATGGGATTAATAGTTTGAGAAATGATGATTGAGCTCTGGAAATTTCCCAACAGTGAGGGCAAATTTGCCTCCTTTAAATTTTGGTATGATCTTTTAAAAGTGCTTTAATAGTACGACTGAAATCCAATTAATCTAAAACGAATTTGATTTTTCTATTTATATTTTGAAATTCAATGTAAGAGAAATGAAATATAGTTCGTGTAATTTTTATAGGAGAGAAGATTTAAAAAGTGTTTTAAAAATACAACCGAAGATAAGAATTAGCCCAAAAATCTTGTGAGTTGTACCAAAATTTCTTATTTCCCTCATGCACAAACGGTAGATCACTTATAGCAGTTAATGCCCCGAGTCATAAAACTAAGCCAGTTGTATCAGTCACAAGAAACATTTAGTCTGCAAATTGAATAAATTCGTTGAAACAAGCTAGTAGACAATATAATTATAAATTAACTCAGTTTCTCCTTGTTATTAGTTTTATTCACTCTTATGCAGCCACAAGAAACATTTAGTCTACAAATTGAATAAATGTGTTGAAACAAGCTAGTAGACAATGTAATTATAAATCAACTCAGTTTCTTCTTGTTGTTAATTTAATTCAATTTAACGCAGATTATTACTCACTTTTTACATGTTCTTCTGGCGGTAAGATTTTAGCTAGCTCTTTTTTATTTACGTGGATGACATCATTTTAACGAGTAATGATGTTGATGCAATAAAAATTGACAAACCATCTCTTGAAGACACATTTAAAACAAAAAATGTTGGTGCTCTCAATTATTTCTTAGAGTTGGAAGTTGGTCGTTCATCTATAGAAATTTCGTTAGGTCAACGAAATGGCTGTATAGTACTAATGAGCAACGAGTAATCTCCCTTTGCTTTTATTGAATATATTGTAAGGCATAGGTACATACATACACAAGCATCTCACAAACATAAATCGCGTAGGAATAATATTGGACCTACTTAATTGGCTTCATTCACATGATTAGGCCATCGGATCCTAATTCCTAAGCAAATACGATTGTAATTAAAAGGCAACGATTGAAAGGAAATCTTAGCAAATACGAGCAGCTTAGCATTAAGGAGATGGAACACACACGAGGTTTGTAGACGGATAAGCCAGGTAGGACGTTATCCCCTCTTCAAATCTTTCCGGCCTTGCCGAAGAAGCCTTGTCCGGCCGAAAAGCCGACCTGTCCACAGTCGCCTCCGGTCGAATCAGCATCTCCGACCTTGCCGAAGAAGCCTTGTCCGGCCGAAAAGCCGACCTGTCCACAGTCGCCTCTGGTCGAACCAGCAGTACCAGTCTTGCCGAAGAAGCCTTGTCCGGCCGAAAAGCCGACCTGTCCACAGTCGCCTCCGGTCGAACTAGCAGCTCCGGCCTTGCCGAAGAAGCCTTGTCCGGTCGAAAAGCCGACCTGTCCACAGTCGCCTCCGGTCGAACCAGCAGTGCCGACCTTGCCGAAGAAGCCTTGTACGGTCGAAAAGCCGACCTGTCCACAGTCGCCTCCGGTCGAACCATCAGTGCCGGTCTTGCCGAAGAAGCCTTGTCCGGCCAAAAAGCCGACCTATCCACAGTCGCCTCCGGTCGAACCATCAGTGCCAGTCTTGCCGAAGAAGCCTTGTCCGGCCGAAAAGCCTACCTGTCTACAGTCGCCTCCGGTCGAACCAGCAGTGCCAGTCTTGCCGAAGAAGCCTTGTCCGGTCGAACCCGCAGTGCCGGTTTATTGAGGGTTGCACTTTTCTTGTTTTTTTTTTTGTTTCTTCACCGTGTAATTATGCTGGATTTGTAATACAGGATTAAACTTTTAGAAATGACGTATTTATTTTTCCTTAACAAAAAGTTAATGTTATTCATTAAACTTTAAAAATTTGCTAACACCTTGTCCCAAATCCCAGATGAGAGAGACGAGTTTTATTGATCAACCAAAGTTTATTTTTTCAAATACTCCATTTTTCTTAACCGATTTATATTACGTTCATTTTAACTCGAAATTTGAAGAAGAAAAAATTATAAATAAAGCATTAATTATGATATATACAATGATACCTATTTTGATATACATAGAGCAATAAAAATTTGTCATTCCAAAAAAAATTCTTAATCTTATCATTGTCCTATCATCACGATATGATGACATATATATTTTGTTTTAACGCGCATTTTAAAAAAATTGCACATTAAAACCTCATTGATTATAATCTACCAATGATATCAATTTGAATTTTTGAATAAATTTGAAAACTGTAGAAATTCACACCATCTCCCAAAAATCCGATCAACGTAATAAAAAAGGTCACCTCTCGCATAAATCTCTTATTTTCCTTGTGATCCGTTTATGATATGGATCATTATGTCTCTACTTTAGAAATTACAACCATTAGATTTGTATTTTTACATATTGTAAGGGTTTTGCATAGCAACCTGAGCACTATTTTATTTATTAATTTAAAACATTATGATTTATAATACAGTTCTATATAAGAACATGCATAAATTTATTTATAATAATATGATAATTATATCACCAAAAATTTCCCAACTCACAACAGTTATATTTAAACATATTAATGTTTCCTTGCAATTTCTCAAAATTATGAACTAAACAATGTGTCTTCATGTTTTGTTTCCACAGCTTGTATTGCAATTATTCTCTTTACCTATACAATTGTCCAATATTGCAAGTAGATTAAAATAATCACTTTCACCCGGAAAATATGTTGGGGAACTTAAAACATATTTTTTGCTGGGATCAATTAATGTCGTAACTATTCTGGTTATATATACAAGGGTATTTGTATTTGTCACTCGGTTTCCTCTATATATTATTATGTTGGGTTTAGAATCTAGCTTTGAACTTTAAAAATATGATGATGTCTTATCTCAAACAAATTAAAGAGCTAATTTCGTCTGTCGAACTATTTTGTTAAAAAGTATATATATTAAAAAAGGACAGATAATATTAGAAATCTGAATCCACTCTATCAATCCATGGTCAACACGTACACTGTGGCATGAATCCTGGCAGGGATGGATATTGGGTGGGTTTTGAGTAAAAATTCACCCACTCACAATCAAGCTGGTGAACTTAATCACGACCACACTCACCCAAATATTATTGTTGGGGTGGATTTTATGCAGGTTAGAGATGGGTCAGGTGGATGAAGGAGTTTTGATAAATTGATACAAGTATGAATAACCAAATATGAATCAAAACCAATCCATAACAAAACATCCATTTGGTCGAGAAACAAAGAAAGTTTGGGAAAAACTCTTAACAAACCGTGTAATAAGATTAATTGAAAAATAGTAAAAAGAGGGTGGCTTTGCTTCTATCGTAGTTTGGGTAAAATCAAAACTATGGCATACCTCGAGTAAGAATATCTATACCTTGAATTGACCGGAGTTTGGCATATGATACTATTCTCAAATCCTTAAAGACTAAAATCTAGGTCTTATAAATTCTATATATCTCATGCACTAAGATAAATTTAAATAGAAACAAATATCGGCGGTCATGATTCGTCAAACTATATTCAACAAATTACATGCACGATCTTGGTGGTTAGGCTCTATGATTTAGATAACTAAGAGTAAGACCTAAGGACCTCTCATCAAAGGTTATGGTACAATATCATGTCCCAAAATCCAGTCAAGTCTATATATCATTTTATTACTCAAGGTATACTATACCTTGATTTTACTCAAGGTACGATAGAAGCCACCTAAAAAAAGAGAGAAATCATTGGTGGTTGGCGATTATATAAACGTAATTTACCAGTTTGGAGGAGTGAATTTCCACAACCACCTATATTTTGATGGATTGCACTTGAAGCAACCTACATCCGCCCAATATCCCTACATTTTTAATCGACTTTTATCTTGTTTGTTTTTATTGGGTTTTAATTTTTTAGTGCACATATGGGGTACGTTGTGCGATACAAAATGATATCCATTTACAATATATTTTGAAAGAAAAAAATTCTTAGCACTCGTTACCACCTTTGTGTCACTTGGTACCACCTTCGTTTTTAACTCGAATTTTGAAAAAAAATTGCCTATAACTTCGTCGTGATTGATAACACTGCATTTCTACATGTTTTCCCCTTCATATATTGATTGTTTTGGCTTGAATTTGTATGTTCCTTAGTCTATTTTACGCTAGGTTGTGTTTATATGTGATATTTCAGGTCCTAGAATGTAAATGGAGGTTTTAGGAGTGGATTTCAGGACAAGCTGGAAACTACGGGCGAAAGTCAGCATCACCACTCACCAGGCATATTTACCAGCCTAGGGTCGTGATTAACCGGCCGGGTATCTTGTAGAGGAGCCCGTGGATAATTACAGGAGGTTTTCCCCAGGGTGTTGATGTAAATCCCCAACTGGGTATTTTGGTGGCCCGACCGGGTAACTCAAACGGGTCATTTAACCATGCGCTACATTTTGAAGAATCCCCGAGGTCCGGGGAGAATTACCCTCCCGGGGAATATGGTCGGGGGATCTGTCTTGATTTGGTTTAAAAGTGGATTTTGGTTTTTTGGCTAAGGATCCGTTTTTTCAAGTTCTGAAACAGCAAAAGGGAGTTGTAGAGAGAGAAAGTGACCAAGAACAAATTTGGGAAGTGATTGGACTCGTCTAAAGTCATTGGAGCTTGATCCTTCACCCTTAGAGTGTCGATTTATAACCTGGAGAAGGATTTCATCTTTCACACTATGATTTCCACCTCCAGCTTTGTGTTTTCCATTCTCTTCTTAGAGTAATCTCCCTGCTCATCTGAGTATGAAGAACCCTAGTCTTGTATGTTAGGAATGATTGTATGAACTCATTTTCATGGATGATTGACTATCTTATATTCAATTAAGGCATTATTTGTAATTGCATGAGTCCTGGTCAAATTCCATGCTGCTTCAACCTAGAACGACGGTTTCTGCATAGGTTAAAAGAGAAACCTCAAATTGAAGTAGTGAATCAGTTGCTTTAGTCAAGAAGTCGATTAAGGAATTGAAATCTTATAGAGGATGTTTTGTGTAGTAGTGCCTCGTTTAGCCTATTCCGGCGGAGGTTAGTCACCAGCCAAGTATTCAAACCAAGAGGTTCTGGGGTTCTTTAGTCGAAACTCCATACTGTCAAGAACTTTCCGCATTATAATTGTCAATTGAAATGAAGTTGGGAATTACTATTTGACTTAACTGCATACTAAGGGGACACATACCTAGGTGACCTTTCTCATACTTGAAAACCAGGAACATTTACTTGCTTTCTTCTTATTGTTACTTTCAATCAACTTCACCACCACTTCAACTATTAGATAATCTAATTTCACTGAGTAACCAATACACCCAGGACCCGAGTTGATATTTAGAACCTGAACCACTATCATCCATATCGGCCAAAAGTCACTGAGTAAGATTTACAAATTATATTCCAAGAATAACACACCAGTATAACCCTATAGTCTAGATGTGAATCATGGTTTTGTTGGTGGCGACAATTGTTGTACGCCCGCAAATATGATTTTTTGATGGTAACCACAACCAACCCACACCAAACAGCAATGGGTAGTGGTTACCCACTAACCACTGTGGTTGGACTTGTGATTAGCATAATCAGAACTTTGTGGATGTGGTTACCCACAAAATGTGGGGCGGGTACCCCAACCCCCACCGATTTCCACGCCTAGTGTTAACCGGTGATATACGTTGATGTATGCAACCATTCTACACTTTACTATGTTCATATCTCCATGATACACCAACATACCACGTGGTATAATCTTATGTACTACCAAACATTACCATATGGTATGAATTGGGAATAAATGTCACAATTTTTTTATTCTAAAATATGTCAAACTATGTTTTTTTGAAGAGCACAATTAATATGATTTATCTGTGGAAAAAAATTACGACTTAAAATAAAAGATATATAGAACTTAAAATTAATAAGAAAAAATTTATTATCTTCCAGAAATGATAAGTTTATGGAAGATTACTAACCATAAAATCATTGAATAAATCCTCTTCCGACTATAGTCTCTCTAATTTCAACCTAACTCCGTCGTTATCGACCGTTATGAATACTAAGCATTGACGTGTTTTATCTGACCCCATCGATGTCGGCAAGTCAGTTTAAGCTTTCAGTATTGAGTCTCTGGCCTGGCTGGCAGTGGTTGTTAACTATGTGTAGAGAGTTTGGGCCGATTGAGGATGGATGATCAATGTTGGGCCTGGTGTGGAAGCTCTGTTACCACTTACCACTCCAGGTTCGTAAATGGGTTCTCTTCACATCTATTTTACAGGCTATTGGATGCAAGAAAAAAAAATGTTACTCACTAGACTGGAATTCTACCAGTGGGCTGACTCTGTCCCCAAAAATGTTAATAGTCCACTAGACTACAATTTTTGGGCTGAGGTGGTGCCGACTGACGAGAGAGAGTAGGGATAGTGCGTCGATAGATGGGCTCTGGAAATGCATGTTGCGGTCCATACAGGGTGAAGCTGGCACCGGACAAAATCGACAATTAGATTGATCCAACGGATCTAAATATAATATGATATAGTTTTTTATTCCGTTATTTGGATTAGATCAAACCAAATTGAATACACACGATATGATCCAGTTTTGGTCCTTAATTTCCTCAGGGTACACCCCTAGGTCCATCACATTGAAATTAGGAGGAAAAATTACATAGTATAGATTAGTTTCTTCTAATATAA